CCAGGAGGAGACTGGGTTGTAGAAAGGCAGCTGGGACCCAGGGAGACCAGGCCAGAGGCTATCGAGGCCGCTGCGGTGTTGGGAGTGAAGAGAGTGGGAGATGGAGTGTGTGAAGGACATTTCAGAGCTGGGAATGACAGCTTGTTTCGGGGGAATTGGGGGTGGGCAATAGTATTATATATTTTTTCTTATCTACTGGTGTTCTGGCCTAGCTCCCCGTTAGCACGCAAGCTCCGTAAGGGCAGGAACCCTGTTGGTCTTGTTCCCTGCTGATTTCCCAGGACAGGGTATAGGCATTTAATGAAGATTTCTGCATTGTAAGTGAGTGAGTAAATTAAGGAATGAGAGGGGAGGAGTAAAGAGAGCACCCAGTTTCTGGCTCTGCCTCAGGGTGAACAGCGGTAGCCCGCAAAGGGAGGAGGAGCCCAGAGGCAGGGCAGTGACATCCAAGCCAGTCAGGGAAACGGTGGCAGGCCTGTGAGGGGCCTGAAGGGGGTGAGAGTGGGTGTGGAGAGCACTCAGGTACAAGATGGAGAACAGTGTCTAGAACAGAGGAGAGGCTCAATATGTGCTTGTTGAGTGAATAAATGATGGAGTTGAGAGGAGAGCTCTGGGCTAAAACTACAAATACGGCTATTACCAGTGCCTAGAAGGTGCTTAAGGCCATAGAAACTGATGACATCACTGAGGGAAAAGTGTGTGGAGACAGAAAGGAAGGGAGAGCCCCCAGCCACGCCCTCTCCCCATAACTAAGTCAGGGACACTAACTCAGAGAAAGCAGAGCCCTGCAGTTTCAGGAAACTCAGGGAATAGGCCTAGAAGCAAGCAGATATCAGGGTGGAGGTAGGGGGCTGGCCTCACAGCCCTGTGAGGAAAGACGAAGCTTCCAGCACCACCAGAAGAAGGCCTCTGGCCCTCTGACCTGGAGCCACAGCCCTCCTCCTTGCTCCCCTCCTCAGACTGTGGTGCTGTGGTCATGCACAAACAAGGCTGCCCAGGAGAGAGGAGGTCCCAGAGTCCTTGGTGGCCCTGGCTGGCCTCCAGAGCATGTGGTTAGCAGAGCCCCAGGTGACTGAGCTAGTGCGTGTGCCACCTGTCGTGTGGGCACCAAGAGTGTGTGCTCGAGGGCCTGGAGCTGAGAAATGAAGCAAGTGCACCCTGTGTAGTGCTGTCAGGGCCCTGAGGCTGGGTGGGTGGGGCGGGTGGGGGGAGGCACCTGGCTACACATTGACAGCCCAAGCCCAGGGTATCCGAGTCACTCCAGACTAGACACACCACAGTCTCCAGTCTCTCCCCTGGCAAAACCCCATGAGTGGCTGGAAGGAGGCAGACAGAGAGTCGAGCAGGGAATTCCACTCCAGAGTTAAGGACTTTGAGGAAAATCATGCTGAAAACGGAGATATCTGAGTCCTATTCAGAGGACCTGGATTCAGGGTTCTGGACTTGCCCCCACCACTAATTAGCTGTGTGGCTCCCGTATGAGTCAGAGCATCTCAGAACTGGAAGAGGCCTTCTAATTCAACCTTCCACGATGAGCAGAAATTCTTTCTACAAACCCATGGCACATGATCATCCAGTGTCTCTCCAAATATGTGCAGAGACAGGAACTTTGCTACCCACAGGGTAGCCATTCCTGTTTGGCAGTTTTGTTAGAAAGCCTCTGTCTTTCAAAAGGCCTAGAAGGTCCCAGCACCAGATGTTCAGAGTGTCACCTCCAGGGAAGAGAGCAGGACTCAGGGAGGGTAATGCAGCTTCCCTTTGATTTGATGTGGGGTGCTTTAGATGGCATGCTGAATTTGTAATAGTGAAGAAAACAACTAAGAGGAAAGTTCTTCTTTATTTGAATCCAATCTGCCTTCCTAACATTTCCACCTATTGGTCCCAGGTCTGCTCTCCAGGATCAGAGAATAATCTAAAACCACTCCCCCTTGGAATACCTGGAATGTATTCTAAACCCACAACCCCGTGGATGTCCTTCAAATACCTGAAGGTGGGGATTGAGTTTCTTCTCCAGGCTGAGCTGCTCCTCCTTTTCCAGACCACTCCCCATCTCAGTCACCGCCTTCTGAGTGTCAAACAATAAAACTCAGTGGGTTGCAAAGGAAGGAACCAATAATTCCAAGTTGGGTGTTACACTAATTAATTAATGAAGCTAGAGAAGTCATTCTTCTCCTTTTTGTGTGTGTATGTGTATATGTGTGTGTGTGTGCACATGAGCACGTCAGAGAGAGAGAGAGGGGAAGCGTGATCAAATTGTTTCCCCAATCCTTGGTTTTATCTGAAAAAGGGGAAAAACAATACCTTTGCTATGAGAATCCAATGAGATTAATAAAAAGCATTAAATAGCACAAATCCCTACCATAGGTGTTATGACTTTGAAGCCCCATTCCACTGAGGTAGCTGCTAAGCACTGGACTCATGGAGCTAGACTGCTGAGGTTCGAATCCCAGCTTTGTTGCTGGTTGGCTGTGTGACCTTGGAGAAATGACCTAACTTTGCTGTTTTCTTCTCTGTGTAACAAGGATGATAATAACACCAATCTTGGAATCCATTTTTAAGAGCATTAGATGTATTGCCTAGCATTCAATAAGTTTAGCTGCTTGGTATGACCACCCCCAAGGAAATATAGGCTTTATCAAAATAAGTCTAATTTGTGGCAACTTCTTGAAAGGTGAGGCCATCAAACCAAACCAAAGTGGGATATTACTGAGGTGAGTTGCTCCACCACCCTCCCTGCTTGCTCCAGTATTTGTGAGCAATGATTACCTACTAGGCACTGTGCTAGGGCTTTACGGGCATTGCTCACTGAATTCTACTGGCAACAGCATGAGGTAGGTATTATTTTCTCCATTTTACAGATAAGGAAATAAAGGTTCTCACAGGTTAAATAACTAGCTTAAGGTCACACAACTGGGCAGTGATGGAGCCAGGACTCCAGATGGAGTCTCTCTGACTCACAAAGCCAGTCTCCATCACCACAGTGCCTGCCCTTTCAACCAGCTCCCTAATTTGGGCTCAACTCCAGCTCTGGGGATGGGAGGAAGCCAGAGCCTTCTTCCTTGACAGCGTTGCCTGCTGTTGCTGTGAGGTGGGGAGGAGGGCAGCCTCCTGCTTCTCTCACTGAATTCTCTGCCCTCTCACATCCCACTCCTCTCCCCCTCCAGGGCTCTGCAGTTCTCACGGGGGACCCCAGCCTCCTCTACTTGGGTCCCTTAAGGACCGTCCTGGCATCTAGCACCCCTGGGCTGGTAGCTGGGTGCTCAGCGCCTGACCATAAATGGTTCCACACTGATCTACCACATAAACAGCCATTCTGGAGGTGGGCCTTGATGTATACCATCATTATGGAGCCAGCAGTGCTCCCCATCCCATTACTATCCATCCAGCTTCTCCGAGGCAAGCCTGGCTGCAAATGACCTTCTCCTGTCTGGGGGTGAGGAGGGAGCCAAGGGGTGGATGGCATAGCCCCTACATGCCCTCCACTGCCAGAGAAGAGATTTTATCTCTGATTGACAGCTGGCTGCCTGCCGTGTCTTGCCTCAGCTGGCCCATTCTCTAAGCCCAATTTTCCCTCATGCTTCAGGAATAGGCTACCCCTTGCTTTTTCCCTCCCCTCAGCCCTGCCATCCTCACCTCTGCTCCCCAGCATGCTCTGAGATCTGGAGACCTCAGACATCTGTCGAGAAAAGCCTGAGGGCTACAGGAAAAGGCTGAGAACCCTTACTATGCATCCTGAGCTGTGTCATATGCAGACAGATGACATGGGGTTGGGTCTTTACACTCCAAGTTTCTGAAATAGGGGCTATCAGAATCCCCATTCTACAGACAGGGAAACTGAGGATCAGTGAATTGCCCCCAAGTTACCCAGTAGTAAATGGCAGATCCAGACTTTGAACTAAGGCCCCTCTGACTCTAAGCTCAAGCCTAGAGGAAGAGAGTAGGGAGTAAGACAAGAGTAAGGAGACGGAGTATGTGCCCAGACCTGGCTATGCAAGCAGCAGAGCCCAGTGCAAAATGAAAATGCAGGGCCCTTTCTTCTTCCATAATCACTAGTGATTTCAAGACCATGACAGCTAGCAGGAAGTCAAGCACGGGGCTCTTTTTGCATAGGTTGCAGGCCTGTGAAGCCAGCCCTGAGTGCACCCATGTGAGTAAGGGATGACAAAGTGAGGGCCCGTGTCTGGCCAGCACCTACACACCCCTACCCCATCTGGGGCGAGGGACATTCATTCCCACCCCTCGGTGGTCCCAGTTGTGCCACTGGTCCCTCGTCAGGGTCCGCTCATCAGCCATCCAGTCATCGCAACGCTTTGGCATCCCCAGGGCTTCGGCCCACATAGAACTGGCGAGATCTCAGGCAGGAACAGAGGCCCCCTGCACAGAGAAGCAGGAACACAGTGGAATTCCTTAAAAAAACCAACACTCTTTTCTCCCACATTAAGGCAGGGGTCAGGAGGCAGCAGTGGAGGTCAGACCACTGCTTGGGAGCCCGGGGCCCAGGGCTCTGTGTGACCTTGGGCAGATCACTTTTCTTCTCTGAGCACTTATGTTTAGAACTAAATGCAGGGGTTGGGCTGCATCAGTGATTCATGGTGGGGCGGGGACATGACAAGAGAGTGTTGCATTTCTCAGGTGTTGGGGTGGAAGCTCAGGGAGATCCCCACAGACACAGAGCCAGAAAGGAGAGACGGAGGCAGTCACTCACACAGCAGGAGCAGCGGGATGCTCCACATGTCTTTATTGGGGCTCGAGCACAGCATGACAAAGGCATGTGACAGGGCGGCAGGGCCCAGCCTAGGCATGTCTCAGACACACACAAGGGGACAGCTTTAGAAAATGACTGACCGACACTAGGGAGGCGCAGGGTGGGCTGAGTGTGGGGAGGAGGGCTGAGGGAGGGGCAGAGGCCAAGGTCGAAGGGGTCACCTGGCCTCTGCTATTGCACGCATCCTCTGGCAACAGGCCAGGAAGTACAGTATTGCAACTAGTCTCCGCTCACCCAAGGNACAGGTAAGGGGCAGAAAGGAGTAGAAGCTGCAGAGGAGCCCCTGGAAGTCCCCCCACAACTGGGGTGTGGGGTGGGAGGTAGAGCCCCAATCTGGGGTGGGGTGGGGCTAGTGGATTAGTGACCCTGGGGGGCAAACTGGCCTCCCACAGGCCACTGGCCCACAGGGAAACACCCCTAAGAGGGAGAGTCTAGCTTGGGACCACCCAGTTGGACTGGCGGTTCCCAGGCCCATTTTTCCCAGGACATTCCACACACAAGTTCAGCAGAAACAAGGAATAAGTAAAGGGGAAAGGAATGGGCATCTGGGGGTGAGGCAGGGGCTTGGGGAGACGTAGCTTAACAAAGAAGACAGACCACCAATAGCACGTGCACTACACACAAGAGTATAGTATGTATGAATATAGATACTATATGTGCATATATATCTCTTCAATGTACAACAAAACAGAACATCGAACCCAGATGACTCTGGGCCCCGAGGGTCACATGGGAAGTTTTCCATCAATCCTGTGCAAACAAGGATATCTGAGTCTTTCCCAGCGAAAGATTCTTGCCTGGGTTCCAGATTTTCCCTAAGCCTCTGGCTTTCTGTCTGTCTGCCTGTCTTTCTCACGTTGGTGCCGCTTTAAGAGAGGGTGAGGACTTCAGCCTGGGCATAGTTGGACGAGAGGGCATCTTGGCAGGTCTCTGTGTTTAAAGAGCACAGGTGTGAGACACTGGGACGCACGCTTTCGGCTCAACATTGCCTTCTGGGGGGTGGGGCAAGGAGTTCAGCAAAAGAGAGGGAGAAACAAAGAATGAGATATTAGAAGGGAGCCAGCTGCTAATCCCTGGGCTGTGGGTTAAGGAATAGGCCAGGAGCAGAGCTGGAAGGCATGGGGACCAAGGGCTAAGAGGCCAGGAAGAGCAGGGATGGGATGAACCCTTTCATCACATGTCTATGAATTCCAGCACTGGCCAAGGTAATTCACAGGTGATGCTCCAGCTTATCTCCATACATGCTCAGGTAATGAGCTCCAGGAACCACTAGCCCTCAAGTCTTCAAAGCTCCATGCAGTAGGGACAGGGACTACAGTTCTGCAGCCTGGCATGCAGGCAGCGGAGGAAGCTCCTGGGGTGGCCTATAGCCCCTACCCATCACCCAAGCTGCTGCCTGCCCAGTTTGGGCTCCCCCCACAGAGTTCCATCAGCCATTACCACCTGGGACTACTCCATTTTCCCAGGGGCTACTGAAGAAGGCTCCTGGCTGCTGCCCTGTCATACCCAGCCAGGCTCCTTCCTCAGCCTGGCAGGAACAGAGGTACAGCCACCTGAGGGTGAATGCTGAAGGGGGAGGTCAGGGAAGATGCGTGTGCCCATCTCAGGAGAGAAGTCCAGAAAATGCAGAAACCCAACCCATCAGGGAGCCCTACTCAGCATTCCCTCCTCAGCCTGGGACATCAGTGGCCTAGCCTTCCCACCCCTTATAACCCCGGGGACCCAGGTACAGCTGGCAAGGGGGTGCTTGGGGGTCAGGGGTTTCAGAGGGTGGCACTTTGGCCAGGGCAGAGGAGGCCCTCCTATCCCAGGAAGCTTTGTGAAAGGGCAGCCCAGGCCCAAACCTCCTGAAGTCCCTGCCCTCGGGCTGGTACAGCCTTGCCTCTGACTCCCAGGCCCTGGGCTCCACAGGCACTCTTCTCTGGCCCCAGCTCTCAGCCACTCCTCTCAGAAGCCCTGGAGGCTGAAAAGTGGCCTCTAAGTCTGTCAGTAGCTCTGGTACAAACAGGAGGATCTGGTTAACAACTGCTACCACACTGCTTCCCTGCTCTGTGGGGAGACGCTGGGCCCCCCAAGGGAACAAGACTTCTAGAAGCCAAAGTAATGCATACAGATCCAGTTCAGATCCAAGATAAAGCAAACTGTGCTCTCAGATTTCAGGGGGGAGGGAGGGAGAGCCTTCTCCTAAGGAGGGAGGCCCAAGGCCTGGGCAAGCCAAAGGCCCATGCAGGCAGATGTGTCCTCAGGCAGAGGTCTCTGTGAACTCCAGGACTCACTTTGCCCTTTCTAGGGCCCTGGGGAGACCTGAGAGGCAGCTGGGGCAGACATCCTATGCAGTTTTCCTGTTCACCGGGTCCTGTGTCTCTCCTGCAGAAGCCAGCCAGCCAGAATGGACATGTGGGAGCCATTTCCCAAGGCACTAGGGGCACCAGCCTGGCACTCCTGCAACATGTCGCCCAGGGACATCTGTGCCCACCATAGGGGTGCTGTGAGCATTCCCATCCCTGTGGGAGGGAAGGAGGAGGTGGGTACCGTGGAAACTTGGGCTCCTGACAATTTGAAGGCTGCCACAGAAATAGCCATCTCAGTTCCCTGAACCAGAAAGGCAAGTCAGAGGAGAAACTAGCTGGGGTGCCCGCACCAAACCAGGCACCTAGCTTATCACTTTCCTAGCAGAACGAGGACCCCCATACCAGGGAGCTCTGTGGGGCCAGGTCTGAACCTGATGCTCAGCGGTGAGGGGAGAAGGCACCCAGCATCTCCATCCTACCCCACAGGGCTTCCTGTTCCTGTCACCTAAAAGGGCCTGTCCCCTTCTGAAGGGTGGTCACATGGATGCCCCTGTATCTTCTCAGCTCTTAGGGTAACACTGCATTCTGAGAGCAGGCGGGAGGCAACCCCATAGACCAGCCAGGCTATGCAAAGGACATCCCTGTGCCTGCCTGAGGCTGAAGAGAGCACTGCGACAGCAACGCTCCTGGCACAGGCTCCTCGCAGCCCCCACCCCAGGAAACAGTTGGACCTTGGTGGCCCTGTTTGCCTTTCAGGGTGGCCTCCAGAGTCCCAGCCTCGTGCTGAGGTGCCACACCTATCTTTGCCCACCCTGGAGGGAGCAGATATGGACCTTAGTCATTCCCTCTACCAAGCTGCATAATTTGACATTAAAAATTTCCAGGTGCATGGCACTGCTGTCAGGTCTAATTCCCATCAGGTGAAACAGGAAATGTCTTGGCTGAGGTGTTCCAAGGTCCTGGGCTAAGGAGGTCCTGGAGAGCTCAGGTGCCCTGCTGGGGGAGAGGCTATCTGCTGAACAGCCCTCCCTGGGAGTGGCAGGGTGCCCTGCAAGAGCAGGTGGGGGGCAGGATGGCTTCTATCCCCACACTTGCCCTCAGCTGCCCCTGCCCAGGGTGAGCCCCTGCTTACACAGTGACTCACAGACCTGTTGTGCTCCTGGGCTCGTTAGGTAAATGAATACACTTAATTATAGAAATTAGATGAGTCTCAGGTTCTGGCAGCAATACAGAGCACAGAGGCTGGTGGGAGCAGCAGGTGACTCAGAGGCAGGGCTGGGAGTTTGAGGGAGCCAGAGAAGGAAGAAAAACTGTCGTGGAAGCAGCATGGCAGAGATGCTGAGGCTCAGGGCACAGATGGGACATGGGCTGTTCCCCCAGAGAGGAGGGCATCCCCATGCCTAGGCAGCCAATCTTGGGGCTCCTCCTCTAGGCCCCTACTACGCCCAGGGCCAGAGCTGGAGAGCATCTGGCCTCTCCTCCCAGGGTGGCACTGCTTCCCTGAGGAGTCAAGCTCCTGCACACCAGCAGGGATGTCCCAAGGGATGTCAAGCCTGATTCCTTCCTGGTCTGGGTGTGGGACAGACAGACAGACAGACAGAGACATTCAGTTGCAGGCTGGTTACTGATTGAAGGCCACAAGGAATGGAAGTGTATTTGCAGTGATGAAGTGCAACCCTGAGGTGGAGCCGGGGTCCAGAGACACAGGCCCTGGGGGTACTGGCATCTCTGGTTGGGGCTGGGGCTGGATGGAGGAGAAGCCCTGGAAGAAATCTCCCCCTGGCTCTCAGGCTCCAGAGCTGAGCATTCTGGGAAGCGGGATGCTGTGAGGGAGAGGCTTGGAGCCTGCATTCTCTTGCATGTTGCCCAGCCCTCACAGGCCACTCTTTGGCCCCGAGGTCTGCGGGCCGTGCAGGGCCCCAGAAGAAGCAGGCCTGAGGGCATGGATGTGTGCCTGACAGGGCATGCGAGAGGCAGGAGGGCTGAGGGAGCAGCTAAGGGGCTGCATGCCCGGGCGGTGGGCTGGTGAGGGGGTGGAAGGGGTGGGAGAGCAGGAGCTTTCTTGGTGGGTAGGGCGAGCTGTATCGTGATGCCAGTGGAGACAGCCCCAGACCGGTTCCTGCCGCTCCAGCTATGTTGTTTAGACTCCGGGACTTTTCACAGCCTTGGTGAAGAAAAGGCACACAGGTCAGAGGGCACAGCTCCTCTCCTGAGCGGCTTCATGGGATCCGTGTTCCAGGGGACCCTGCAGGGCAGGTAGCCCCAGGGTGGTGGAGGGGTCTGGCCTGCCTGCAAAAGACTCCCTGAGTTTCCCGTCTTTGGGTTACCTGGGCTCCTGAGGATGGACTCCAGAGACCCCCACACATCTGACCTTTGCCCTGTTCTTGTCCCCAGGTGAGTTCCCCTCCAGTTGCACAAAGACCCCCATAGCTTCCAGCGCACTCCTTTCTCAACCGTAAGAAGTCCTAATTAGCACCTGTTACCTTCCTCCCAGTCTGCTCACACTCTGACACTCAGGCAGCTACAGGCCAATGGAGGCCCGTCCCCGTGGCTATAGGAGCCCTGGGCCCACTCACTCCAGGTCCTAAGCGCGGCCGGAGTGCAGAGAAGGGTGGAACAGTCTGGCACGTGGAAAGTTGCTGAGTGCTTACTGGGAGTTTGGCGATGCTAATTGCCACACTTGCTGAGCAGGGCCGGTTTCCCAGCAACCCACCTGTTCCCTTGTGAAGGTCACTCTAATTGGCTGAGCTACATGCTTGTTGCCAAGAAGCAGTGTGGAGGCATCTAGAAAATAGAGCACTAGGTCCCACAAGCACCCAGAGAGATGTGGTGGTGGGATGCAGTCTCCCCGGCCCCATGCCAGCACATGGGTAACCCCTTCCCAGGGTGGGACCCGCTCCCCAGGACCTCATGGTCCCTCCTTTGACTTGCACCCTCACAACCTCTGCCACACTGCTACTTCCACTGAGCCCCTCACAATAGTGGAAGGAAACCAGGGGTGCTCGGCACTCAGCTCTGTTTGCTCAAGTCCTACCTGGGAGGTGGGGTCCCCTCCTCCCCACGTACTGGGCCATCCACTTGGCATGCTTCAGCCAGAGTGGCTCTGGAAGCCACATCATGTTCAGCATGGGGAGCAGGAGACACAGGCATATCCAGAGTGAGAGGACTAGAGCATGCAGAGGCTAGGGTGACCAAGGGACACAGGGGAGGGTGTGAGGGGTCTGAGCACCTTCCAGCTGCAACCTTTGCCATGGTCTTTAGGCTGTCTTTTCCAGCTGCCAGGCTGCTGCTCCTGCTCCTATCACCCAACAGGACATGCCCAGCAAAGCTGGACATACACCTCTCAGGGCCTGCTTAGGGTCAGGGCACCTTGGGCATCCTGTGATAACTGAGCAGGCCAAGGAAAGGGCCTGAAAAGGTGCCCCTGGAGGCTACATGGGTTGGGCAGGTCAGGGGACACCAGTAGGGAGACAGAGGCCTCACAGACTATTCCTGCCCTAACCACTGCCCCTGCCTCACTCAACCCAGTCTTGATCTGAGGTGTGGGGATAGTGTGGAAGGGGAGGGATTTGGCTAAACTAGAGCTGGTTAAGAAGTGGCCTGAAAACCCAGCTCTGAGCTTTGTTTTCAGGGAAGTTAGGGTGTATCCTAGAGGCAGGTGTGTAGGTCACAGGGACAGAGCAAGAAAGACAAAAAGTGATCAGACCTGGGCAGGAGTGCCTGATCTTGAGGTTCCTGTCCGCTGCTGCTGGCCCTTCACCACCCTTGATCATTTCTGCCCCACTAAAGGCCAGGGCCTGCTGATGGCACTTCAGCCTCCCCAACAGAAGGAAGGTTCTGCTTGCCTGAACTCTCCAAATCCTTTAGCACACACCTCGGAGGGGACCCACTCTCCCTACCCACCCCATCCCCAGGTCACCTCTGGCTCTGCCTCAAGAGGACAGGCACGTCCCAGGGACTTGCAGAGCTGGGTCAGTCCCATGGGAGCCCCAGTGCAGGATGGAGGAGATGGGCCTGGGGAGGCTCTCCGAAGACCTCACAGCAGCTGCTCTTCTTACCCAGACTCCTGAATGCTGCTGGCATCTCCTGGGACTATGTACTTGGGGAGGCTTTAGCTGGGTTTAAAGGAGGCTTAGGGAAGGTTTGGCAGAGACCCTGTGGAGCCAGGCCTAAAGTTCACATCAGGAACCAGAGGAAGAGGGGGTGATACAACAGGGGGAAAGGCAGGAGCCCCTGATCTGTGTCCCTTCACTCTCTAACACTTGTCTTCCCTGTGGGCACTGAGGTCCGTGGTGGAGGGTGGGGGCTCTGTGTACCTTTCAGGGATGTTGCAGGCTTTTCTAATCCAGGGACTGTGAGATCGGGGTGCCCATCTTAAAAGCAGGGGTGCATCCAAGGCAGAGGAGATGGTGGCTATGGCCTCAGGGGGGAAGGGGATTGCAAGCTTTGTGGGGGACACTGGGGAGACTCAGTTCCACGGGGGCTCCCCACCTGCCCAGCCATACCTTTCCGGACACTACCATCAGCACAGGCATAGTCCCCAGCGCTGAGCAGGAAGCAGGCAGCTGCCTTCTTGTTCTTGTCTCGTGTTCCAGAGCGTCGCAGGGCCCTGCGCTCCTCCGGGGTGGGAACAGAGGCCAGGGGCTGGGTGAGGCCTGCCCCCTCCTCATCTGACAGCACAGCATTGGCATCCCCATTCTGCTTGGAGTCTAAAGGGGACAGACAGAAAGGAGGCTGCGTGAGGGGCTGCCTGGGCCTTCTTCATGGGGTCACCAGGGGTCTCTCAGATCCCAGACCTACAGTGTCACTTCCCCAACCCAAGGAGGGGGCCCGGTATCCACCTGGGAGGGATTGTCACCAGAGCCAGGGAGTGGGCCTGGTCTGGGGGTCAGGGGCAGCGTGCTGTGCTTCCCTCCCAGCCTTGGTTTACAGTTTTTCCTGGGAGATGGGGCCACAGATAGCCTAAGCAGGGGCTCCCTAAATCTTCCTTCAGCAGGCTGCCCCATAAGATCAGCCCAAGGCAGGTGATGGCCTCTGCTGGCTCCTCAGGTCAGGCTCAGGCTGACCCCTCAAAGAGCACTCCCTCAGGGGATGGCTGACTAGCTGGAGTAAGGGGTGGCAGAGGGGTAGCTGTCAGCATTAAACTGATGGAATGGCTTCCATGCCTATGTCCTCAGAACCCCCTGAAGACAGTTATTCTTGTTCATCAGGCAACTAAGCTTGGGTTGAGTGCCTGAAGGATATAGAGCCCTCTGCTCTCAGGGCTCACCTGTCTGGGGAAGACCCTGGGGCAAGAGGCTCACATTCTTCCCCTGCTGTGGGCTCTTAGCCCCCAGCCCCTGCCTGTCAGGCAGCAGCACAGGTGGGTCCTTGGATCTGGAGAAGGGGTGCTCTGTCTGAAGGCAATGGCCTTGGTACTGGCCAGAAACACCCTTCCTTACCATGGCCAAGCTGCATCATGCTGAGGCATGGCTGGTGGGGCTGTGCACTGAGGAAATGGCCTAGGGACTTGTACATTTTGATATTAGGTTTTCCTCTGAGCCAGGAATGGGCCTCGTGGTACAACTGAAATTCACTGGGGCATTGGCTAGGGGATGGATACTCAGGGATTGGTGAAGAGGGTACCACTGGGTGGGAGGAAGAAAGGAATTTTATGGGTGCTGTTCTACCCAGGTCTTTGGAAAACCCAGATGCCTGAATGACCCCAGTGAGTGGCCCCAGCATATCTGATGGGCACCCACCAACAGGCCACAGGTGAGGGTCCCAAGTGAGGCACTTTCCCTGGAGGACAGGTCCCACTTTGCCCCCAGAGCTTGGCTCAGAGCTGCTACCTTACTCTCCTCACTCACTTCAACCCCCTGGTGGCCTGACAACCAATGCACCCCACATTAGAAATCCTCCTATGCCCCTCACAGCCCATCCCATACCTAACAGGTTCCTAGTCTCCAACTTAATTCCATGTGACTGTGGGGTAAGCCAGTTTCTTTTCCCGTCTCTTTACTCAGGTGGAAACAAACTTTCCTGGGGTGGCCTTCCCATCCTTAAAGAACAGGAGTCAGACCCTCAGGCCCCCTGCTTCCAGGATGCAGTCCCAGTTTCTCACCTGTCCTTTTCCCCTTCTAGCTCGGGCTGGGCTACTCTCTCTTGGTTCCTTTCCATCCCATGTTACACTCTGAGCCCAGGACTCATCTAGCTTGTGCTGAACAGAAGGCTGCCTCCCACTCCTGTTACATTATCACATTTATTAGGCCAAGAGACACCAGACTCAAATGTTTGAAAAGAAATGATTCATGTGTTGATGCACCCTGGAAGCACAGCTTGCCCTGCCCTCTAGCTAGGAGTGACAGAGCCTGAGATTTGTAAAGTGGCTTTAACCTCTCAAAGTACATTCATATCTGTCATTCTGCCATTTGGTCTCATCAAAGTCTTGTGGGTGGGATACTGCTATCACTCCTGTTTTACAGGTGAGGAATCTATTACTGGGGAGGGTGAGTGACTAGCCGTAGGGCACACAGCATGGTGGCCAAGGTGGGATTAGAACTCCAGGCTTCTAATTTATAGCCCCACACACTGCCCATCGCAGCCTAAATTCTGGGAGAGATACTCCACAGGCCAAAGTTCAAGAAACTATCAATAATATATAAATATTTGGCCTCAAGTCTTAACCCTCATAAAGGCATGTCTTATACTTAGGGAAGCCCAGAACAACAAAGTGCAATCCTAAATCCCAAGAGCTGAGGCGAACCTGGGGACGCCTTGGGGACTGGGAAAGAGGTGGCTTTCCTTCCCAGCCCAATCTCACCTGCCCGTTTCCTCTCAACTATAGCCCCTTCTGGGGCTTGGGGGCTGGTATCGCTGTAGGTGCTGTCCCGGGGTGAGGTCTCCTCAGACTTGCAGTAAATGGGCGACTCAAGCTGGGGCGGCCGTGGCACATGCTTCTTTCGTTTCTTAGGCAGCTTCTGCTTGGCCATGGCCAGGGAGTAGTACATGCCGAAGTTGTTGACAATGACTGGCACAGGCATGGCGATGGTGAGCACACCAGCCAGGGCACACAGCGCCCCCACCAGCATGCCTGACCACGTCTTGGGGTACATGTCCCCGTAGCCCAGTGTTGTCATGGTGACCACAGCCCACCAGAAGCCGATGGGGATGTTCTTGAAGTCGGTGTGGTCATTGCCCCGCGGGTCGGAGGGCCTGGCGCCAATGCGCTCGGCATAGTAGATCATGGTGGCAAAGATGAGCACGCCCAGAGCCAGGAAGATGATGAGCAGCAGGAACTCATTGGTGCTGGCCCGCAGGGTGTGGCCCAGCACGCGCAGCCCCACAAAGTGGCGTGTCAGTTTGAAGATGCGCAGGATGCGCACGAAGCGCACCACACGCAAGAAGCCCAACACGTCGCGGGCCGCCTTGGACGACAGGCCGCTCAGTCCGACCTCCAGGTAGAAGGGCAGGATGGCCACAAAGTCGATGATGTTGAGCAGGTTCTTGACGAAGTCTAGCGTGTCGGGGCAGCACACGATGCGCACCAGGAACTCCAGTGTGAACCACAGCACACACACGCCCTCGATGTAGGTTAGGATAGGCTCTGTCTCCACCTCCCGCCGGAAGTGCACGCTGGTGATGTTCCCTACTCGGTGGATCTCTGTCACATTGCGGTCGATGTTGAAGGCCTCATGGGTCTCCAGGCAGAAGGTGGTGATGGAGACCAGGATGAAGAAGAGAGAGGTGAAGGCCACAACCTGCGGGTGGGGAGGAGCATGGAGCAGCTGTCAGACAGGGATGGACAGCCCAGCAGGGGCAAGGACCTCTGCTTGGTGGGTGGAGGGGTAGGGCATGGGCCACCAGGGAATCCATTAGATGATGAAGTGGAGTGAGGTGCACTCAGGGGCTAGAAGTCCCTCTTCAGAGGGCCTGTATCCCCTTGCTCGGGTGCCATAAAGCAATACTCCCCAGTCCTTGTCACAGTGCACAGATGGAAGAGGCTGTTCTTGTTTGGAAGCAACTGAACAGGGAAGGATAGCTGCCTAGCCCCGCCTACTGCCTAGCCCTGCCCACCTGTAACCCAGTCGTGCTGTAAAGCTTCTCAGACTGTAATGAGAATATAAATCATCTGGGAATCTCATTCAAATGCCATTCTGATTTAGAAGGTTAAGGGTGGGGCCTATGATTCTGCAGCTCTAACAAACTCTCAGGTGAGGCTGCTTGTCCTACTGGGAGTAAACAGGCTTTAAGGCAGTGTTCCTCCAAGTGAGGTCCTGGCCAACAGGATCAGTAAGTACCTGGGAACCGGTTAGGAATGCAAGTTCTTGGACCCCACCCAAACCTACTGAATAAGAAACATTGGGGGTAGAGCCCTGAATTCTCTTTCAACAAACCTTCCAGGTAATTCTGATTCACACTAAATTTTGAGGTCCATTGAATTAAGGATATACTCAGAGGGAGGGAACTGGACAGAATGACCCTGGGCTTCTTTTTGCCAGCTAAATATTTAAGCTCCTGCCATGGTCCACCTCCTCAAGCCCCAAACCCCTCTCTCCCACCTCTCAACTGATATGTCCCAGTCAACAGCCCAGACAGAAGTGTCTGAAGGAAGACAACATGCTCCATGGCAGGAGACAAGGTGGTCCACCCAGAATAACCACAGCTGCTCCCCTCCAGAGAACTGACAATTCCTGGGACACAGAGGTCCAACAAACAATAAACTGTACCCACGGGGGTCAGAGCATGGCACTGGCTGGTCCAGACAGCTGCGGGGATCTCCGGCTGGAATGAAGACGGTGGCCCTCGGCAGAGGAATGGCTGGGTTTAAGTGTCCTGTCGTTGTGAATGGAGATGAAATGCATGTGTAATAACACCAATTACAGAGCGATCATCTGTTATTCATGCAATGACATTCACCACTGTCAGGGTACCTGTTGCTAGGGTCTATATTCCCTGCTGCTGCTGCTTCTGCTTTGGGGGTAGGGCTTCCTTCCTGAACAGAGGGCTGAACCTAAAATAGGTTGAAGAGAGCTGTGGCTCCATAAACAGCTGGCAGCCCCAATGCCTGCCACACCCTGATTTCCCCCTGGCCGTGGCACTGGCCCTGTCTAATGATGTGTCTGAAATGCTTTCCTCCCTGGGAATCTTGGGTGGCGGGTCGGGGGTGGTGGGGGAGTTGGATGGCACACCTTGTTCTTAGAACTGCAAACACCAGTGGAGCATACAAGGGGCTCTGGGAAAATGGAGGAAGCAACACATCCAGGGCTGCTGGAGCAGGAGCAAGGCTGAGGAAGGAACTCAGAATGAACATACATTTAGCTGTCTATTCTATGCCTAGCACACTTGGGTATTCTGTGTGTGTTACCACATCTGGTCCTCCCAGTGACCCTGTGAGGTCAGCTTCATCATCCCATTTCACAAGGAGGAACTGAGGATCAGAGAGGGTATGTATTTGCCTAAGGTCGCACAGCCTAGAAGGGGTAGAAACCAGACTTGAACTGTTCACTTCCAAGGCTGTACCTTCTCTTCACAGGACACAGTCTTCACCACCTCCCAGGCAGGATCAATTCATAGGCCAGGAGAGTTTTCTTTGCATTATCAATACCACTCTCAGCCAGCTCCCTGGTGACTGTTATTTCACCCTTAGTAATGTGTACTTCGGCTTAGAACAGACAACCATCCACACACCAAGACTTATGTTATTTACACTTAAATGTGGATGGTTTGGACAGATACAGAAGGGAGAAGGTGGGCAGCAGACCACAGATACACTTTCCCCAGCTGACAACTCTGTCTGCAGTTCTCCTGCCTGCTTGTCCCCCACCAAGGTAAATTTCAAGTTCCTTTTCTAGTCTCATTTTTCTTCCCCTGAGAAATGGGCAGTCAAAACAATACTGGCTGATATGGGCATTAAGCAAATGAGTCCAACCTGTGGGCTCTCCAGACCACCCAGAGATGAGCTCCAGAGGCACCTGCCCAATGGCTGTGGTGATGTTGGGAACTGAGAGCCCTGCCACCACTCTCCTCTCCCAGAAAGGGGGTGTGGGTGGGTAAGGGGTAGTAACAGTATCCCAGGTCTGCCAGGAAGCATGGGAAGCAGGAGCTTGCTCCCTCAGAGGAAAAGTTAGCTAAGAGAGTTGGCCCACCTGGGAGACAAGTGTGAAGTTAATTAGTGATTTGGAAAAACAAGTTCTGGAAGAGCTGCCAAGCAGCTGAGCAGAGGGTGCAGAGAGGGGGAAGGAGAGCAGTACCAAGTGGCCTAGGCCACTCTCTCACCTGCAGTGCTAGGTAGACTGTGCCTTCCTCCACTGCCACCCCACAGGCTCCATCTGCAGCCAGTCCACAAGTATAAACTACCCTTCCTACATTAGGAACACCTCTGGGTTCCTGCAGTGTTCACTTAGTTTGCTTTCTTTTTTAAACATAGAGCTATCCCATCTATTCATTTCTACCCTCTCATCCACTCTCTCAGAAGATGACGGAAGGTAAAGGGTGGCCACATGTTACTCAGGGGCACCAGAGAGGGCACATGACTTGCTCAGGACCAAACCGAGGCCCAGTCTCCCAACTCTCACTCAGCTCAGAGTTCCCACCACTTGGCCCTCTAACCCAACAAGTGGGGACAATCACTCCTCCTTTATGAGACCCTGATGGGGCCTCAGACTCCCCTGTAAGCTCTCCAGGGCTGGGGCAGGTGCCAGGCTGGGCCCAGGAAGCCCTCACTCCCTGAGGAGTCAGGCAGACCTGCCACTGAGCTGTGAGAGATTCAGGGACCTGGGTTCTGGCAGGTAGCCCAGGTGGGTCCTAGGTTACTGATCTGCCTTTAGGGCCCAAATTAGTCCTTTCTCTCCCACCTTACTTCCCAAAGAAAAATTGTGTGAATGGTGGTCCTGCTTACAATAGGGGCCTTTCACCAGACCGTCCCCTCAGGTGCCAGGGACATGGCTTTTTTTCTCACACTCTTTTCACTGGGGAGCTCCTTAGGACACAAAGGGGCCCAGGGAGGAGGTGGGTGCTGTAGCAATGCTAGAGGTCAAGGCCTGATGCTCCAGCTTATTCAGCCCTGGTCAGGCTACCCTGCATGGCTGGCAACATGCATCTGAGCCTCCTTCCCATTAGGCCCCGCCAAATTGGGCTGTTGAGCCTCAAGAGAGCCGAGACTGAGGTCAAAGGAAAGCAGAGAAATCCTGGAGTGACTGTGTTTCCCATCCTGGCCCTGCCCCTCAGACAGGTAAACAGCGTACTCTGTGCCTGTTAAATTGCTGCAAATTGGGGGCAGTACTAGTACCCACCTGGTAGTGTTACTGGAGGATTAAACAGCTTCTTCATGGCAAGTGCCTGGCACACAGTAGATGTTTAGTAAATGGTGACATAGCTAAGGAGACATGCAGCTTCTGAAGGAGAGCTGAATCTGGAGCCAAAAATATCACAAAATCTTTGGTTTTGGGAAATGAAAGGACCTTGAAAAGTTTTCCGATTCAACTTCCTTTCTGCTGTTTTACAGATGAAGAAACTGAGGCCTGGGAGAGTGTGATTCGCCCTGGTTTCCATGGCTGAACTGTCAGTTCTTTCCACTTCCTGAAGATGCAGGGCATGGATTCTGCTGGGAGTCAAAACTGCCCAGGCAGAAAACTGCTTGTGTGAACTGCTTTGGCTGGGAGGGTACAGGACGGTCTCTCCACCCCAAACAGGAGGTTCTTAGCCTCGTGCAAGGTAGCGCCCCTCCTTTGCGCTCTGTCCTCTCCTTGGACCCTTCAGGTTTGCTGACTGTATCCTGTTGGGGGAACCACCTGTCCCTGGAGACTCAGGTGTTTCAACTGGTGGGTCAGCCCTGTTACCAGCCTCCTTCACCAATTTCATCCTGGGACTGTCTTAGTGGACTCGCTTCCTTGGGAAACCTTGGGCAAGTTTCTTAACCCCTCTGAGACTTAGGATCTTTGTTCATAAAATGGAAAATTGTGTGCCTACTATATGCCAGACACTGCTCTGGGTTCTGGGGAACAGCAGGACACAAACATCCTGCCGCTTAGACCTTATGTTCTAATGGAGGGAGACAGACAACAAATAAGGAAAATACATAGTATGTCAAATGGCATAAGTGTTAGAAAGAAAAATAAAGAAAAAAGGGAGTAAGGAGTGGAGGATGGGGGAACTATTTGAAATAGGGTGGTCAGACAAGATTTCAATGCCAAGGTGACATCTGAGCAGAGACCTGAAGGAGTGAGGGAGTCAGTTACATGAAGATCCAGGAGAGCTCGAGGCAGAGGAAACAGGCAATACAAAGGCCCTGAGGCTACAGCATGCTTGATGTGTTGAGGGGACAAGAGTAGTACTTACCTTATAGGGTTGTTTAAGGCTTGAAAGAAATTATATTTGTAAAACTGAGCAGAAGCTAGAGTGTCTCAGGAATCTGGCACAGGCTGGGTCAGGGGGCGGGGGGAAGGTGACAGACACCAGTCATTGGGAACTGAACACAATCAGCGGGGGCAGGAGGGGGGAGCCCAAGGAGGAAGGGCCAAGGAGACAGATGGACAAATAAACATAAGAAGACTCGTGCCCAAAATCCTGTATTAAGGATGGAGTGTAGGAGAAGAGAAATTTGAGAATGCAGCCAAAGACATTTGCAGAGGAAGATCTGTGGGGATGGGATGAGGAGCTTAGCCTTCCAGGGAAGCGAGATCCTGGTGCCCAGGCAATACTGGAAAGGGAGTGGGCAGCCCTGGGGGCTAAGAGGCTAGAGAGGGGAGATGCCAGGCAA